TAGCACAGAAAACAACAACACAAAAACTGACCGTGAGAAACATGGAGGAAGACCGGAGAGACAAACATGAAGCGTGACGTGAAGGGAAGACAAACAAGCAATGAACCGACAGGGGAACACAGGAAGAGACAAGACTAAATACAGAGAGGGGTAATCACGGGACAATAAACAGCTGGGCAGGGGAGGTAGAAACACAAGGGCAACAGGTGAACACAATTAGACAATCAGACACACCAGGGAAACTAACGACAGGAAGGAAAACACAGGGAGAAGGATCAGACAAGAAACAAGAAGGAAAACATGAGACAGGGAGAACAGAACAGCAAAATAAACACAAAACTAGACACACAAAACTCAAACCCTGACACAGGTAACGCTAAAAAACATTACATTTAGATTGTATGACAAAGTATTTATTTAATATATCTGGCTAGCTATAGCTACTTGCTAACGGTTTAGCTTACCCCGCGATTCAAAGTAACGTCAACGTAGCTGTAATTTATGCTTTGCTTACATGTTCGCATAACTTGGAAGTTTACTGACATCTACATATCTTGTTCACCTGGCTCAAGTGGTGGCTCTGGGGTTGTTGTGTGAGCCACCACTTGAGTATTGTCATCTTTTTTAAGAAAACATTTTTCTTATGTCCATCTTCAAAAACTCTGAGTCCGACTGACAGTTTATTTTAAACATTGTCACAGCTCACAGGATAGGTACCTGTCAGCCCATAAGACAGATGTTTATTTCCATTCAACTCTCTGGTTGGTCTGGTGTCTTGCCTCTGTTGCATTCACTGAACACGGGAAATTACAATCCTGCCGTCCTCTCTAGTGTCATGATGAGGTTCAGGTAAAGCACGGATAATGTATTATATTATTGACTCAATAATATAATACATGACTTTGAGAGTAGGCAATCTAGGCATATTAACACAATTAATTAAACATACTTACCACGGCGACAGTGTACTGAGATTTATTTATTTTTTGCTAGGGGGCCCCTTAGTGTGTGCGGCCCTAAGCAGCCGCTTATGTCGCTTAATGGTTCGGGCCGGCTCTGCTAACATCTACCTATATTGACGTAAGAAATCGCGAAGCTTTTTGTTTGTTTAAGCTTTAATTGATGTAACAGTGTGAACTCTTTCCAAAATGCCTTATTTACACTGCAGTAAAACATGTTGATTAATTATAAGGACACGTTTAATTGCACATAAGCACTGACTTTTTTTATGGTCTGTGGTTTGACAGTGTGCAATATCACTCCAATTAGAGACGGCAGAGGAAACAGATACCTGCTGCCTTCAGAGGGCTCGGCACAGCGGAGGGAAGGAATTTAAAAGTTAACAGCCATGGCAGCAGCTCTGTGAAGCTGTTTTTTGGCAGTGCTCACAATGACAAGGCCAAAACGCTGCTGTTTGGACAGAACAATGTTTACAATGTTTGCCAACCTAGTTGAGTGTGTTTTGGTATGCAAACATTTGATAATAACCACTCAAGAAAAACTCAAGCTGGGACAAATAGGGCTGTAATTGTAAAAAGGTATTTAGTCATAAAACAGGATAATGCTGATCAAATGATAAAGTATATAATGGCATATCATAAAACATTCATTCTACATGCATACATTCTAAAGGTTACAATTGAAAGTGTCTGTTTATAGAGATAATTAAAGTGGACCTATCATGCTATATTTGAATAATATATTGTAGGGCCATACTTATACAAAACATGTCTGCGAAGTACCAGTATCAAAATACCAAACAGATCATGCATTTTAGCCATGCCTCATTTCACTCTATTTGCTATTTTTTAGCCCTGTTTTTGCAAGGGTTGAATCTGTGAGTAGTCTTCTTTGCTGCTTTTGTGGCAGACTACAGCGCCACCTACAAGGCAAGGCAAGTTTATTTATATAGCACTTTTCAACACAAGGCAATTCAAAGTGCTTTACAAAAAATGAAAGAGATTAAGAAAATGGCAGTCATTAAAAAGAAAAGCTAATAAATTAAACATTAAAAGAAAAAGTACATGGATAAAAGTTACAGTGCAGTCTAAGATATGAATAGTTCAATTAAAAGCAGCGACAAAAAGAAAAGTCTTCAGCCTGGATTTAAAAGTAGTAAGAGTTGCAGCGGACCTGCAGGTTTCTGAGAGTTTGTTCCAGACAGGCCTGGCATATGTACTACAGCGTCTCCAGCTCTTTCGAACGGCAATGGCCGTGGCTGTCTCCTCCTGATAGGTGGAGAGTTGCCCATATAGGCGGAGCTCCTTGTTCCTGACGTCAGAGAATTTTCAAATCTGTATCAAATCTGTTGCAGCCCCGTTTTCAGAGATTTGAGTATAGAGGAAAAGAGATAGGGTTGTGTTTTCTGACACTTGGTGAGTTCCCTGACACACCGGGGACACATATTCATGTATAAAAGACGTACAAAAGTTCATTTTGCATGATAGGTCCCCTTTAAGTAAATAATCTACTGTGGACCACATGTACCTTTTAATCATCTCTAAAATAAACCGGTAAAAGAGAGGAAAGTACAATTGGACAGTTAGATGGTCCCGTTTCATAGTTAAATCCCTTGATGCAGTTTTTAACACACTGAAGCTGTTTCAACTCCTCTTGGCTAAGGCAGGTAAATAGCAGGTGTGAGAAGAGAAGGTACCACTAACCGGTATCACTAAAATTAATGAAGGTTCTATTTTTAGCCGTCTCCTGAGATGCAGGTGAACAGGTTTTTAGGACTTCTTATAAACTCTCAAACTCCAGTTTTTGGAGGTGTGTTTACTTAATGAACCAATGACTGGCTGGTTCTGGATGGAAACAAACCAACAGGAAGTTTTATCGAAATTAAAATTTGAAAAAACTGATATACTGTATATTGTTGATGTATTCATTTATTTTGAGCATCTACGAAACAATTAAAGTACATTTTGGATAACATGATTAAAATGACTAAAAATAACACCTTTAAATTACATTTTTCAAACAATTAAATTATTTTTGAAGACATCCAATGAGCTCAATATATATATCTACACTGAACAAAATGCAACACTTTTGTTTTTGCTCCCATCTTTCATGAGATGAACTCAAAGATCTAAAACATTTTCTATAAACACAAAATAACCATTTCTCTCAAATATTGTTCACAAATCTGAAAAAATCTGTGATCGTTAGCACTTATCCTTTGCCGAGATAATCCATCCCTACGGAGCCCTGGAGGGTTCATAGAGAGAAAAATAAATCAAACGTGGCCACGTTTTACTTTCTCGTGCGCACGCTTTAGTAACTCGTGCGCACGAGTTACTAAAGCGTGCGCACGAGTTACTAAAGCGTGCGCACGATGGGTCAATGTTGCACGATGGGTCAATGTTGTGAATCGAGTGGCCTTTTATTGTGGCCAGCCTAAGGCACACCTGTGCAATAATCATGCTGTCTAATCAGCATCTTGATATGCCACACCTGTGAGGTGGGATGGATTATCTCGGCAAAGGAGAAGTGCTCACTATCACAGATTTTTTCAGATTTGTGAACAATATTTGAGATAAATGGTTATTTTGTGTATATAGAAAATGTTTTAGATCTTTGAGTTCATCTCATGAAAAATGGGAGCAAAAACAAAAGTGTTGCATTTATATTTTTGTTAAGTGTACATAGAACCAAATTAACCTTCAGTCCAAGTTTGAATATGAAAACTTGAGTTTTTCCACAACACTTAACCCACATCAATTCAATAAGCAATCAGGCTCAAGAGGAAAATTGTACGTCTGACTCGAGATTATATTTCCTCGAGTTGCTCATCACTCTGCTTTGCCTTTTGACTGCAATTTTTCCAAACCACTCGTATGGTCTGATCTGGATTTAGGTTATTCATTTTCTTCTAGCTAGCTGATAAATTGAACAAATGACACACACACAACATTTTCACTGAAATCTAATCGAATGCTGGGTTTGAGGAAAAGTACAAATGAACAATGTCTTCAATGTTCGACGGTTATAATATGAAGCAAACTCATCATCCAGGCAACATAACTGAGATTAAAACAGCTGATTTCTGAAGTGTAAAACATTGTCTAGCAGCAGTTTAATGTAGGATTTGTTTTATAGCATAATCTCGTTCTAACATGTTCTGTCTTAACTCTGACTTCTCCTTCTCTTTACTGAGTCAGCTTGTTACATCCATTCACAGTAACATATATTTTTGAATCCCAATACAGGCAAAGAATATAATGGTGGCAAAACACCAAAATAGTCACTGTACAGTATATTGAGACAAATTCAAACAATGCTGCTATTGGAAGAAATTAAATGCATAACCAATATAGGCCCTCAATCTACCATCTTAATTTCCTGGCTGACAGAAAATCAAAAGCTTCAGGAGAAGGATTGGCATACCCAGCCGCTAACCTTCGAGGATTCAGTCAGTTAACTGAAATGCCAACAAATAACAGTTCAAATGTCAAGCTAATAGAGATGTTAAAGCCCCAATCTGACATTTTGGGACCAAATAAATGAGAAGTCTATTCAATTGCATGATTAAACAAGAACATACCAGGCTGTTTTCCAGCTGTAAACAAACATTCTTAATGTCAACTCATCTTGAGCGGCGTCAGAAATTATAGTACTTTAGACTTAGTTCATGTTAAGTGTTAATTTAATTACCTATAATCAGTCATATTTCATTTGTATTTTAAAAATACCTGTCAATCAATTTGAAAGTGAAAGTAGGTTGTTATCTTGTGATATGATTGTTCATGCCGGGGCTATCCATGTGTTTGCATTATGTGTGGATTCCTTTAAGCTCTGATACGACTTGCAGATGTGATGACTCATCGGAAGTGTGGCGGTCCATAGGTTAAAGCCATTTAGCCGGACAGACAGGATGATGGGAAATTACAGAAGCGGTTGTTCCACTGTGCACTAAACACTTCTTCTCCTCTTCTCATCTCCACCATCTATCCTCCCTTCTTCCTCCCACTCTCTCCCTCTCTCTCTGACATCTGCAGTCAGATACCGAGTTCTGGGATAAAATGCAGGCCGAGTGGGAAGAGCTGGCTCGGAGGAACTGGCTGACGGAAACGAGCAGGCGCAGATTCCCTCCTCTGTCTCTCCACATGAGAAGGTCACTACCATTACACTGTTACAATCAGCAACATGTGCAGGAATCTCCCCTGATGACACTGATGTAGAGATGTACAGGATTTATAGCCACTGCAGAGTAAACAATGCCCATCTAGAGCTTTCTTGTACAATTAGTTTCCAAGCACATTTTATGTGGTATACAGCAAGTTTATTGTACTTTGGAATAAGATATAAATACACCTGAATCATGCTCAACTCCAAAAGGGAAAAATGATAAACCATCCCCTCTATAGAGTGCCACAGCGTCCTAAAACCCGGAAGTAAGTTAGCATTTTACCACTTCCGGTTCCTTGTAGTTATTGTAGTAATTTTCTAGTCATAAATCTAATCGATAGATTTATGATTCGAAAATTATAAAAGTAGGGTAGACATGTGGATAGTATCCGGCTGAACAAAACGTGATCTGTCTCTTCAATTTGTGTCAACCACAGACCTTATTTCGAGCTATTTTCCAAAATCCTATGGAGAAATTGCATTGGTTTTTGTCGAAGGAACCGGAAGGAGTTTACTTCCGGGTTTTAGGATGCGTCACTGTGGCCCTCTATTTGCGCCTGAAAGGAGGCGTTCAACAGTTTGGGAAATACACCTAATTATCTCCCTTGCAGAATGTTAGCTGAGAAAATCGTGCTACTCTAAAAAAGCAACTCACAAAAATGTCAAACTGTTCTTTTAAACTCTGTAGTCTGGTGTGGAAACTTCAATATTACCAGACAGTGATCATTTGAAACTGAAGGCTGAGTGATATCCTGTTTGTACAGTGTTAAGGTTTACCAGGGAGTTCAACTCCTTAATATTGCTGAGCTTATTACAATGTAGTTATGTTTAACATAACTACATTGTTAAAAACCAACGTTAAATAGCCTTTATTACACCCTATGTATATAACATTGGTAGACCTAAGAGGGCAGTGCATATAGTTGGGCAGTATAATGTAGTCAGTAAAATCAGCTGAGCGTATGAGGAAATGATACGAGATCAGACCTCTTGGGCTCACTGATTGATCCCCGTGCAGAACTAGTTCTTAAAGAACAGCTATTTCAAAGTCATTGCGCCCAGAAGCGGTCAACAACACACCAGGGTAATCACAGTTTGAAAATGCAAAGTTTAACATTTAAAGAGAACAGACAAACCCGGGGGAGCTCAGCCCAGGTTTGATGTGCAGCAGAAAAGATCAATTGCTGCTGCTGGAGCTTTCCTAAATATGCAACTGCACAGGACAGTAGCCCTGGTTTTCATTTGAATATGAAAGAGAGAAAAACTGACAATGTATATGTCCTTATATTTAGTTTTTTGCTTACAGGGTTACTACTTCCACACAGATAATCCTTACAAAGACTTGCCTAACGCATTTGAAGAGGGACAAAAGAAGTCTCGAGAGGGAGACTTGCAAAATGCTGTGCTTATGCTGGAAGGAGCCGTCCTGCAGGACCCTCAAGATTCAGAGGTGAATTAATTCAAAACACACAGACACATGTATTTTGGGATGGGGCACATTTACAGCATATATGGCCAATAAAACTGCACTCCGAGTCTTCTCGTTTTTAGTGCAAGGTTTTGGCTCAATACAACCACAATAACTGGTTCTCATTGATAGAAGATAAAGGCAGAATGGCTCACGGACCACACAGGCAGTGTGGAGCAGATTTAGGAGGCAGCACCCACAGGCTAGACGCTCATGGCCTGTAGAGGGCAAAGGATGTTTTTTTTCTTGATGAAGAGCGGTTTACTGTAGCAAAAATAGTCTACTTGTTCATACTCATGATGAGAATTTCCATTTGCCCAGTGAGCTGAATAATAGCTCATTCCGAAGCTTTTTTCTCTCCTTTTTGTATTCTCCACGTTTCTAAAGGAGTGACCTCTTTGCAGGCTGGAAGAGCAAAGCCTTCATACAAAGTACTTTCAGAATCCCCTTGAATATACAGAAATGTGCCAGTTATTCAGAGGGGAGGATTATCCCGCGGTGTATGGAACTAATACGATTCCAAAATTCATCCTAGGGCGCTTAGTGGCTTATTTGCCCCACTGTGAAGACCTCTGAATCATTCAGAAATAATTTCGACCCTCATTTCGAAGAGCGGGAACAAAAAAGCATCTACAGAGATTAGCTTTAGAACAGGTTATTAAGTATGCCCTTACACACACAAACAGAGGAGCAATCTCTTAATCTCACATTTGGATTTGAGGTTAGTTACATCATTGTCTGCCCTCTTGTGCTGATCAAGGGAAACTCCATTTGCATGTCCCTGCCGAGGCACTGCACAAAGATCAACCGCAGTGCCTCTCACACAGTGACATTCAACATTTACTGAGCGTAAACTCAACAACCTTTTGAAGAATTCATCTTTCAGTCAGATAGAAAATCAATCTTCAACTATTTTCAGGATCAGTTAAACATTGAATTAATGGTTAAAATGGTAAAAATGCCAAACATTTCTTGGTAGTAACTTCTCAAGGGAGATTTGCGGATTATCTCTGTTTATACATTATAGTAAATTATATATATTTGGTGGTTTTGCACTTGGTAGACAAAACAAGAAATCTGAAGGTGTCACTTTGGGCTCTGGAAAACTGGGATTTAAGTCTTCAATATATTGTTTTGTCCAACCAAGAGTCCAAAACCCAAATGAGTCTTCACCTAAACTGTCACCTACATTTCTTAGAGAGATAAAGCAGCATGTCAGTAAGTCATCTCTGATAACTTAATTCAGTGACTGACACATTTCTCAGATGATTTAATGGTTACCTGAGTGTTTCTAAGGACAACGCTCTAAGCTAAATGTAATCATAATTGTATGCACCCTTGTTGACCTCATTAAAGGTGGGGTAGGTAATTTTGGAGAAACCAGCTCGAGTGCGCTAGAATTTGAAAATACACAACCGGGAAAAATCTGCCACTTCCTCACAGAGCCCCTCCTCCAACACACACGAACGCGCACATGACCAATGAGGGCACGAGATAAGTTTGTGCACAGATGGAAGGCTGACAGGCAGGTAGGCCATCCAGTTATTTTAGCCGGGCCGGCTAAAATGATTGGTCGTGCTTTTTACAGTTTATACATACAGATGACACATTTTTTTGTCAAAGCACTTAAGATATTCATTGCTATCGGGATGTTAAGAGCATTTCATGGAATATAACAAAAAGTGTATCTCGAGCCGGTTTCTCAAACTTACCTACCCCACCTTTAAGGTTTAAAATTTGGTGAAGTTCTGAAAGTTTAAATGCACTTTAGCTCCTCTGTGTTGATGTGTCGGAAAGACACGCATCCCTCACTCTGTTCTAGACGAACACTCAAAGTGCCAGACAGCAGTATCAGAGCCACTGTAACTGTGATTCAGACCCATGAGAATACCGTCTACGGAGCCCAGGTTTCCATATGGCTGTTTACTTTTACCTGTCTTTGTTCCCCTGTAGGCTTGGCAAGTGCTGGGTACCACGCAGGCAGAAAATGAGAATGAGCAATCAGCGATCGTCTCTCTCCAAAGGTAAGGAGAAACAACTGCATCAAATTCCCATTTCAAATCCAAAAAATGCTCTCAGACTTAGCAGAGCAGTCATCTTTTATTGTTGAAGAAACCACATGTTTGCACAAGAAGGAACATTTGCCTGAGAGGTTTAAATGAGCTTTCTAGCAGAAGTCTAATCAGCAATAAATTCTATTTATAGTCCCGAGAAAAACGGCATCACCATTTCTTTCACTGTATTACTTAACCAACCGGCAATTGGAAGGAAACAATTTTATTCTTAAAATAGAGACACCCCATATGGATGGTGATTGCAGAGAGCCACGGTATGAGTCTACGATGGGAGGTGGCCCACTTTTATTCATCACACTGCTGAAGCCAGAAATGGCAGCAATCTGAGTGTGAAGACTGACAAGAAAACTGAAAACACAAGAGACAGCCATTCAGGAGAAAAACAGTTACATATTGAAGTGCAACATATATGGTCCATTCCCCTACATATAAATATAGTAATGAAGTTGATTTAAAAAAAGGGATTACAACAAATGTTTGTCCCTGCAAGAGTCTCACTTAATCCAAAAGATTCTCAGATAGTTTGCATGGTATACATTTTAGTTTGTTCGTTATGTAATAGCTCCATCTGTGAGGGGACTGTTTGGGTACGGAGTGAGATTAGATGTTTAACTGGCATTAGTCCTGTTGTTGCTACACTGGCAACACTTCACTTGGCCAGCACCGTGTTATCCTGCTCTATTCAGCTTTTTTTTACACTAAATATTGACAGAGAAGAATACAAATATGCTGAAAATAAAAATGTTGCTTGGCTTTCGTCTAGTTTTTGTTATTTGATGCTTCACTTTTGATGCTAAAAAAGATGTGAGCTTTGTCTCCACAGCTTTGGACAAACAAATGTGACTGATGTGTGGTTATTTTCTGTTATTTATAGGAGCCAGTACATTCTGTACACAAACAAATCAGCCTGGATAACATTGTTGTCTTGTCACTCTTGGCTTGAGAAAAAGATGGAATAATTTGATTAATGCTTACAATTTTATAATAAAAACACATCCTTGAAAGTGTATGGTGGATTTAGTGTCCTTAACTAAAGTTTATGTAATCTTCACTAACAGCAAATCACAGTGGGGGGCAGAAATAATTTGGTTTGACTGAGATTATGAGGGTTTGAAGGAAGTTGGCACATCAGCTGTAGCAAATCTGTCTTCAAATTATCTTGATGAAAGCTAAATCTTGTTTTTGGCTTTTCCTGCAGTCTCTTAACTAATCCTAGAGTTGTTTATCCGACAAATTGCTGCTTTTTAATTACAGAAATCATTATTGACTTTAGTCGAGTCAAAATTAGATAATATAACTTTTGCACCTGCTACAAACACACTTTCCATCTCTAGCTCTGGAACAATCACAAGGCGCATTTTTTTCAAATGCAAAATCTATGCAAATCATCCAACCCCAATGCTGAGAGCAGAATGCAAACTGTCCTCTGCTGGAGAGGTGCAGCTCATTCCTCATGACCCAGAAATCATTAGCCTCCGCCTGATGTTCCCTTGCTGTGGCCTGTCCCAATTAATGCCTGTCAAATCTAGATATTCCTTTGAAGTGTACACCTTACAGCGTCTCTTTTCTCCCATGTCGTGTCTCCATCCAGGTGTTTGGAGCTCCACCCTAACAACCTCACAGCCCTCATGGCTCTGGCAGTGAGCCTGACCAACACTGGTATGCGCAACGAGGCCTGTGAGACTCTGCTCCGATGGCTGCAGCACAGCCCGAAGTACAAGCACCTGCTGAAGTCCAAGACCCACCTGATGGGATCCCCTAACTCCCCACGCAAGGTGTCCACTGCCAACAACGTGGGAAAACACGAAAGGTGGAGTATTTCAAGTGAATAGGTAGAGTTTCACAATTCTTTAGACCTGATGAGAACAAAAAATGTAGCATTTAGCTGTAAAATAAATTGTTCTTCCAACACGGAGGACAAAAAAAATAAAATTGAGGTCCTTCTCAATAAACTTTGCATAATTCCTTGCTCTTATTTTCTCTTGCTTCCTATTTTCGTCACTTTATCGCTCCTTTACCCTCTTGTCAATCTCCATCTTGTTTTCTTACTCAAATAAAAGTTGACATAAAGCATGTCTTCAATCTCTTAAGATCGCACATCATAGTTTTGCGATCTTAAGAGAGCTCACTCAGAAGCCTTAAGTCACATGAATCCTGGTGTGTGTGTGTGTGTGTGTGTGTGTGTGTGTGTGTGTGTGTGTCCACAGCTCCCTACAATCTGAGGCCAAAGAGCTCTTCCTGGAAGCAGTTCAGCAAAACTCTGAAAGCATCGACCCAGATTTGCAGACGGGCCTCGGGGTGCTCTACAACGTTAGCGGAGAGTTCAAGAAAGCTGTGGATGCCTTCAACACAGCGCTGTCAGTGCGGCCTGAGGTAGGACACACACGCAACTACACACACAGATTGGAGTGGAGCAGTAGCTGTACAAACACTTGTCAGAGGAATGGATGCTCTGCATGCAGAAATAATTTAATTGGAAAATTCTAGCCTCAGTGGAACAAAAACAAGTAATCTTTTTAAATGATCATTTTTCACCATTAAGTTGAGGAAGAATACACAAAGTACAACATAAGAAGATACAAAATAAAAAATTAAATCCTTAAGAGGGTCGGTTCAAAACAAACACTACTAAGCTAGTGGTATCCTGCCATGCTGCCATTCAGTTCGGGGTCACACTGGCAGAGATCTGAACACCACCTGACCAGCTGACTGTAGGCTGTGGTTGGTGAACACATGGAAAGCACTGGGTTTCCTGCAGAGACAACATGTCTGCCAGCTGGTTGACTCCAGCTGGCGCTAAGCGGTGCCAATGGTGTAAACTCTGCACCTTTCATGAAGAACTATTTATGGATGATCAGTGGCTTATTAGAATATTCTAGTACATCTCATACTTCCAATATTCTCTCACAGCCAATACTTCTTATTTTTCGCCTGATAAAACTCAAAGAACAGTGATTTGTATATCCTGACTGATGGCTGCTCATAGGAAGTTACGTTACAGGGTGTAATGAAACATTTCAGTACCACAAAATTATTAAACTGAGTGTTATGCTTACTGTATAACAATTAAAGGAATACAAATAAACTCACAAAATCTTTTTTGGTATTTAAATGGTATACTTCTGTATGTATTATTGTATATAAAATAAATATAAACCCAGCATGACAATCCGTATTTGATCATCTTGGAGGGTCAACGTCCAACCTGATTTCCCTTACTAAGATAATATGGCTGTGGCATTTTGTTTAACTTTGTAGTGAAAGCACTAAAATATGTGCAATAATAATAAAATACATAATATTGGATACAACCCACGGTTTTGGCCACTGAGAAACACTTTAAGATCTACTATAAAACACACACACACAAACTCAGACACACACACACACAAAAACATGACCCGTCACACACCAGATGTTCCAATGCAAACACATACAGCAGACATGAATCATGTGCACATATTCTTAGAGCCACACATATCAAAGGAGACCTCATGCAAACAGACGCAGTGAAGCACATCAAACTGTCACAGCAATACGTGAAGCAAGGAGCAACTAAATCTGGCCTCGTGAACTCTTGACTGGCACACATACATGTAGGCTCTGCGAGAAGAGCAATATATAGAGCACACACACACACTAAAAACAGACTCTGACGCATGATTCATACAACAAAAAACATCATAAACACACTCACACACTTACAAGCGCAAACATTTCCCCCATCTCTGCATCTCCTTCATGCAAACCAGTCTCTGTCCACCCAGCTCTGTCCTAGGCCGGTAAGAACATTACTCACTGTTAAATCCAACCTCACACATTTGACTTGGTAATATCTGCTCCCCTGCTGGAATAAATAGCTCTGAACACAAAGGCAGATAATTATATCCCGCTGCTAGGCTTAGCCAAAGATGAAGGACCCCTATACTGTAGCAGAACATGACCTCTGGATGTGCTGTCTACCTGCAGGTGGGAAACGACGGCAAGGACACAGTGTGATGTAACTCACCTATCCTCAAAATACCCTTGTTAGGTGACTTCAAAGCAGGAAGCTGCATAATTCTCCAAACAGTTCCCTGTTGTGTGTGCATAAAAAGTTAAGCATAAAAACAGTTTCTAACACTGATTTGTCATGCCATCATGTCATGTCATCTCATATACAAGGCTGAGCGTTAGCACAGATTATTCAGCTCTATTTCACTCTCGCTTTTGTGTTAAACCAACTGTCATCTGTTTGATCAGGTCTTTTGGAGGGGGAAAACATAAGGAAGTATCCCATGTGTGCTTGCGTCAGCATTGTGGTTGTGTTCCAGAAGCTTCCATAAATATATGTATACATATTAAGGAAACATTTTAGGTCTTGGTCATTTTTTCATTTGACCATCATCATCAGACAACCTCGGACGTCTGGAAGTTAAGTTAAGAGAAGAAAAAGATGGGAAGATTCTAGACCACCAATGAACACTGAAGGAATTGTAACCGGAACAAGCTGAATGCAATGACTGCAGAGGTGTTGAAGACAAGAACTCCCATGATTCCACCTCACAACACCAACAAACTCTGTCTTTTGTAACAATTGTATTCTAGTTGCAGAAATGTACTTTTCTTACTTATGTAATAAAATAACTGAAGAGGTGTTGCTGAAGAGTTTATAAGTCAAGTCATCTCAAAACAAATCTTTCATCTTCACCCTCTGACATTGCTTATCCATCAACCAACCCCACCACTCACCTTTCATCCAGGACTACTTGTTATGGAACCGCCTGGGGGCCACGCTGGCAAACGGGGACCGGAGCGAGGAGGCGGTGGAGGCTTACACGAGGGCCCTAGAGCTGCAGCCGGGGTTTATCAGGTCCCGCTACAACCTGGGAATCAGCTGTATTAACCTGGGGGCACATCGGTGAGTGACCTGGGACTATGAGAGAGTGGGACAAAGCTCCTACCTTTTTTTGATGCAGTGAAGGTAGACGGTAGCACCTATGATGAAAAGTGAAAATGGTACTTCCAGCTACTTAAGACAATACACAATCTATGGCTGAATAATTAATCAGAATTTCATTGTGATTGCATAATGGATTAGTGCAATATCCAAATCGCAGGTGGTGTAATATTTTACAAGGAAAATATGTTTTAAAATACCATCCTGAAGTAAGTATGGTGCATAAATGGTAATCTACAGACTTAAGGTCTGAGTTTGGTACACACATAATCATTTTTTATATATTTTCAAATGACAATGTGAAAGATTATGCCAAAATGATTATTCCCTCCAGAGCATTAAGGTTAACCACGGTATTGCAATAAATGTTGTTTTTTTTAATCTTTCAGTCAATCAAGGGAAACGAAATGAATAAATATAAATTCAGTAATCCACCTGTTATGCAGCAGAGCTTTCAATTATGTAGCAAAGTAAGTTTTCACATTAGGGCAACAGATATCGATTAACCTTCCTGATTGACAATAGCAGACAATATATTGAATGTATATCTAGTATTCTAAGGAGCAGATGACAATCAGCAAGCTGAGTGTAACAGCATTTCCTTTCAGTTATATTTCTAGTAATAGGGCCTATGCTTGGCTGGTTTTAAAATATTGAGGAGAAATGTACATTTTCTGAGTGACTGCCAAGCCTGTTGACTTTACCATCTAAAGTCAATATAACATAAACACAATTGTGTAAATGGACAAAAACATTTAACAGAGGCAAACAAAACAGTCCATAGCACATAATCCGAACATGAGTATTCATCATATATCACAACTACCTTCCTTAAACAAAAATATCAAAGCCTCATAATGCACAGGAGACAACACCTAAAAGAAAACAAGCATCCTAAAACAAATACTAAACATGCAGTACGAACAAAGCAGCAGATATGATGAAGCCAACAGAGTCCAATGTCCCAGCAGTAAAACTAGCACACCCACTACACACAAAATATCATTAAGCATGTTAGTACAACAAACAGCAAATAGCCTACTTACAGAAAGCAGAGACCCTCCTCATCTCAGGGGAGACTCATTCATCCTTTTGAAAGAGTTGTTTTCACCCTGGAGACGGCAAAGAGGAGAAAACAGGGTTGAAGAGTGGGATAAGGATAACAACTGGATTAACTAACTTTCGAGAAACCAGTGTCTCTTTTGGGACACAAACAGGATTATTCCTTCATAAACTTTCCGGAAGCGACACAACAGGGCCGTTAGCAGGTGAACTAGCTTTGAACATATATAAGGTAGCACTGTCAGTAGCATTTAGTAGCTTATCATGACGTTATCTAATAAAACAACAGCAAGTCAAACTAATCAGCTCTGTTGGTTCAATTTCTGACAACAACATTAAACTAGAGGAGTCCGTTTCATCCCAAACATGTAGCCATTACCTTAATCAATCACGTGTGTGTAACAACTGCCAGTCATTTAGTCAAACATATGAGTGGAGCAAACGATGGGTGGAGTACCAAAAGCATCAGTTGCAGGCTTCCCCTTCAGGCCAGGTAGGTAACTGCATGGGGCTTCAAACTAAAAGTGCCCCAAACAAAGTGTTGTTTAAATGTAAAAACATATCTTACTCATTGTTAACATTACAGCCTTAAAAACACTTTAGAGTGGCATTTGTTTATTTATTTTGTTATGATGAATAATAAAGTCGCAATTCTAACTAGGGTAGGTAAGTTTGAGAAAACCGGCTCGAGATACACTTTTTGTTATATTCCATGGAACGCTCTTAACATCCCGATAGCAATGAATATCCGAAGTGCTTTGACAAAAAATCCATAACAAATGTTCATCTGATCTGTGTAAACCGTAGTACTGTAAAAAGCACGACCAATCATTTTAGTCGGCCCGGCTAAAATAACTGGATGGCCTACCTGCCTGTCAGCCTTCCATCTGTGCACAAATTGGTCCTACCCCACCTTTAATATCCTTGTATGAAATGTTACATGCATACAATGCATCGAAAAAACACCTTCTTGTTTACCAGTGATACCTATCCACACCCTGGATAGGTCTGCCTTAATCCCAATATTGAACCCAATATAATTTATGCATTTCATTTAATTGGAAAAATGTAATAGCTACAGGCCTTTCTACAAATACATGTATCATTTAGTATCATTCTGTCCAAACACTAAAAACATGACACAGGTGTAATTTGTCTCCTGCTAACGGATTCAATGTTGGTGTTACCTGAATGTGTGAAGATATCCAATCTTTAAGTGACATCTTCCATTTGGGTGTGCAGGGCCTGAGCAGGATTAACCTTTTTTAAGTTTCTACAGCATACACAGCATGCCCTAAACAAAACTGATCCTTAGTATTGTTGCTTCCCCAGAGAGGCGGCCAGAAACTTCCTGACGGCTTTGAGCCTTCAGAGGAAAAGTCGGAGTCGCCAGCAGTCCCACCAGGTGATGTCTGGAAACATCTGGGCTGCTCTGAGGATAGCTTTATCCATGATGGACCAGCCCGAACTCTTCCAGGCTGCGAATATTGGTGACCTGGATCTTCTCATGCGGGCCTTCAACCTTGACATTTGAGGAATGGGAAGTAGTGACAATAGCATCTCCTCCTTCACTTACTAGCCAAAAGCCCGAAGTGCACACGTCAGATATTGGATCTGTATTAGTGAGCGTGGTTTTTATGCACGTCCAAACTAACTGCAGTCGTCAAAGTTGTCCATTTTTTTGCCCAAGTTCTTCGAGAGCAGTTCTGCGGACAAGTTCTTTCAAGAGCTTGAAGTGACTGCTTTGTGGTGGATTTGCACTGCAATTTGTGATTTCCCTGAAGAGCAGAAGGACGGGCAAAGATTGTAAGAGCAATGCCTTAGAGAACACATCAATTAAAACCGACTCATCCAGTGGAACAGAGCTGAGCCAGGAGAGGCAGACAGACATTTTGAGAAGCTCGCACAACCCTCACACGTGTTTGCAGAGAAAGGTGGAGGTTTTGAGAAAGAAAAAAAAAAAAGGTTTTGTTATCCAATTACTTTCAAAGACTCAAGTCTGTCTCAGCCTACTGAAGTATGGATGTAGTGAGCAAGTGATAAAGGCTGCACCGTCTGACCTGGAGCTACACATTCTGTTCTCATCCTCTTTCAATGGAGAATAATGATATTGCATGAATAAGCATTTTCATAAATGGATTCCTTGTTCAAAATCAACATACCTTTAGAAGTTTTCCCTTTGCAATTTAGACTGATTCCAGATAACAACTTCCTCAACCCAAGTGAGGATGTAAAGCCTTACTCAAATGCATGCGAACAACAATATTTATGATATACTATTTTTATGGCAACACAAAAAGAGAAGCCATTTTAGACTGGTTTTCATTTCTTTAAATAACTGCCATCGTATGCACTTGAAAGCTTTATGAGCCGTTTGTTTTCGCTCGGTTGTATTTTTTGTGTTTGATTTGGCTCCTAGCTTCTCTTTGCTCCCTTTAAGCTGACTAGCTAGAGAAATATTAACAAACCCAGGGCAACATTGGTCTGCAAAACCTTCCCTTTCAAAAAATGTCATATGAACAAATGTGTTTACAGGTCTTAAAATATCTCTTTAATCTTCTGGTATTGCTTAAGTAGCCCTCACATGAGATGTAAACATCCCATTTGATTTATACTGTACTATATATAATTAAATAACATGTAGTTGATGTGAAGCTGCAAGCTAAGACCTTTGTATGCTTTGGGTATATCATAAAGCAGTCATGTGTGTCTTTACTGTGCCTCCACAGGCAGTGAAGCCCATACATTGAATTACATTTGTCTGCCTCAGCCTTCATGCATGATATAAATATTTATGTCAGCTTTGGTAGAATGCCTCGCATATTTAAAATGCTATTTGTTTTACCATCTGCAAACTTCATTTCCCATGAAAACATTAAGTTATCGTGCACACAGCACGTGATCGTATTGAGCCAGATAATTTCTCTGCACCATCACAGAAGCAAAGCTTTTAAACATGTTCGTTATGGTTTCTCTGGCATCACTGTTGCTAGTTTCAAAAGTCTGTGAGGTGAACGTCACATTCCTGGCCGGGCATCAGAGTAAATGATAGATAATCTGCTTTTCTGCATAACTCAGCATCTTGGTGTTTAACAGGCTTGTCAACAGTCTGGGCGTACTAGAGAAAGGGTTTTATTCTCAGATCCTATGCAATAGGTCATGTTTTATGTTGCCATTCTGTATTGTCATTTAGTTGCTGTCTGCCTCGATGAACCAAAAGGAAGTGGCGATTCTGTGCTTTTAAAGAACGCTATCGGGGGAGACCGGGGAGCGATTCATCTTCCTAACTGTACAGCTTTGATGTCATGGTCTGTATGAGAAACCGTGTTTCATTAGGGAGCTTGTGGAGAAAAAAAACAAGTGTCCTTTTTCAAGAGAGAAACATGGTCAGTGATTTAGAAAGAACCGAAACACACAAACAGCATCGACCCAAAATGAAGCCGTCATGTTTTATAACTCTGCGGTGTACCGACATGACCTTGCACCCGTCAACTCACTGACCTACATCAAGCTTTGCTATCTGATGTTTTATTACGCAAGCGAAAGTTTATTTGTCTTTGAAGCTCATCTTAAATCTGCTTTAAGGAGAAAACTCTTTAAGTGCAATAATGACATCTATGTGTTATGCGCTCATTCATTGAAACAGATTATTTGCTGCCATCAGATTCTTAAAAGAAATGTTGGCAGTGAATCTCTGAGGCCGACCACATGATGTTTACTAGATCAAGGAGGCAGAGCAGCCCAGTGAGACGCAGCACATATGTGCATGCCACTAACAATCTGCATCGGGGGGGGGGGCTGAGAGTGGACTGCACAATGGAAAGGGAAATGAGGCCAAAGCAGAAATGCTCAAATGTATTCAATTATGATCAAATAATTGGCAGTGTATGTTTTTTACATGGGTAATAGTATGGGAGTCCACCAGTGCTATCATATTGAATATTTCCTTTTCATTAAATTACTTAAATAATTTTGGTACGCTATCAGTATGGCTTTCTAAATGGAACTGTTGGTGTGTTCAGACTTAAATGTCTGGTTTGATGGATTGCTGTGACATTCATTTTCAGCAGACTCCTTTTGACCTTTGTGATCCGCTGACTTTAAAAAAAAATCATTCATCGACATCAGTTCAAATATTTCATCCATCTAATATTTTTGATTTACTGTCACCTTTTACATTCATGACCAATTATCTGCCATACTTCAAACAGTCTTATTAGCCTCAGCCTCAAGATAGTGGCTTTGATATGAAGTATGAATGCCAACCTTACCATACGCATGCTAGCTTTTACATTGTGAGCCGTCTTGCATCTATTTTAAAGCTACATTAAGCTAATTTTAGAGGTATAGGGCTCCCACTGTACATCTGAGCCAGCCAAGTGTTTTTCCTTCTGTTGACATCCACCTGTCTCTTATGGTGGACGTGCTAACAGTGCAGGCTGGAAGCACACAGCAATGTGAACATGCCCACATGTTTGTTTATTTAGTATCAAATCAGAGTCTCAGCATCTAAAGTTTTCATAAACTATAAAATCATGGGAGGTACTATATTCTTAAGTTTAATTTCAACACAAGGCAAAGTGCTTTACAAAAATGAAAGACATTAACGGCATCCCTCCATTTTTAAATATGAACACATAATCTTTCTCTGGTCCTCACAGCTTTCTTTTGTGTCAGCAATGATCTATAGAAACTCATAAACATGATGTCTGCTAAGTTGTGCTTTCTAAATCAACTCTAGTTTTCTTATGGGGTTGTAGGCCTCTGTTTTTTGCATTTCAAGATACTGTAGTTGTGTTAAAAATGAGAAACGTATTTTTTTAAAGAAACTTTAAATTACAAGCTTGAAACCTAAACTTCTGTGTACATAATACTGCAGCGCATTGAGATAGGATGCCTGGTGACTGTTTCCTTTTTGTAGAACCTACCTATTGTACCTTCTCAGGTGAATTGGCCTAGCATAACGCATGCTCTGAGGAACAGATCCAAGTTGATCGCATGCTAGATCCTTTCCATGAACTGCTTCGAATGCTATTTTCATTGGTATGCATGAAATACATGGATGTGCTTGCTTCCCCTCCCACTAACGTAGGAAAATATATCATAAGGTTTCCTTGCAATATTTCTACAATGCACTTTTTAAATCTGCCACCTTGACAAAAAGTGATGTATATATTCAGTATATATTCTATACAAGAGGCTTTTCCTGCATAGAATGCGTGAGTGTGCACGGCTCAAGAGTAACAAACTTAATATTTACTGAACATGATGATTCTTGAGCTTGAATATTGGTACATTGCTACCACTCGCTTGTCATAGTTATATTCTGTAAAACGTTTTTAAAAGTGGCTTCTACAAGTTACAAATGTACTGGTAACACTTTGAATGACCCCAGCCAACAGAGTTTTGTGTCTTTTCTTACCTGCTTTTATGTAATACATTTATATTTATATAATAAGAAATACCTTGTGAAATTCATTTTTAAAAATCCTTAATGAATACAGTGTATGACCAAAAACTCATCTTATTATGAATTTTTACAAAAACTGAGAGTAGGTCACATATTTGTTTCAGTTATGTGTCTGGTTCACTTGAAGCCACCGCCAATCAAATGACACAAAACAAGATAGATATTCATATTAATGATGTATTACTTCAACTCCCTACAGTAGGAAAGAAGGAAATATGTAAGGCTTTTGCAAATTAAATAATACTTTTATTTACCTTTTATTTTTGTAAGACCTGCAGAAACTCATCAATGTTGAACACTTTTTCAGATAAATAAAGCATTTCCTTTTGCTTTGTAAGTGTGGTGAAAATGTGTCAGTCTTCTGGACAAAATAGGTTTTGAAAGCATTTATAAAATGATTGAATGTTAACAGGGACATTGGTTGGGGTTTCTAAAGGTTATCAGTGCATTTCCTGTAATGTCTTTCCTCACTCCTTTAACTCAACATGTGTACAAATGCAGTTTGTTCTAGTTTATTTCTTGATGCATCAAATAAAATGATATTTTAATGAATGCACATAGAAATTATATACTTTATATACAGTATGGATTACTTATTGAAACACCTACTATAATGCATATTACTATCCCTGTATAATCACAAGAAAGCATTAGCACCTTTGAAACCTACAATATGAAAGTCAACTTTTAAAATAAACTGTTGTTATATATTCTATGTTCATGTGTCTTTATTTTCTCACTGAAAACTCTGGAATTGGAGTTTCTTGATCATTGTTACGGAGGCAAAGTCTCAACAAAAGTGTAGTTTATTAAATTATCCAAACATCGTAGGTAAACAGTGCCACTGAGAATACTGTGATGACTCTATTCACATACAACTAAGCCACATTTGGATGAAAGCATACATTACAAAAGTCAATTTAAAATAATCCCATCAGGAAATCTATGTAATGAAAACTACAAAATTGGCACAAACTTGTTTGCAAAAAGGCAACAGAGTGAAACAAAGGAGGACCTTTTTTGACATTTAGTTAAATGAAAAAATGAGAATACAACCCACAAAAGTACAATTGTCCAATCCAAATGACTAAATGTCAACGTCTAGTGCACATGCTGACAGTGAAAAAGCCTTTTTGTTAAAAATGGAACCGTTTTAACAACATAGGAAAACAAATGGAAACAGACCAAGCTGGAGGGAAAGCTGAAACAAAAACTAAAAAAATACAAAGACAAAGAAAAGTAATTGCACAGAATACCTGTAGACGTTTGTGACTGTACTTCATACAGCAAGATTATTATCTAATGATGAAGAGCAGAGTCACGGATTCCAGAGCAGGGTGTGACAACACATTTGGTTTTTGAAAACAAAAACAAACAAACAATTCTTAGAAGAACAACGGCAGAAACAAAAGACTTGCATAGAGAACTATTACAATTCCCTGCTGCATAGACAATAAACACTGCAGCAATTTATTAACAACTATCTGATGAAAATGAGAGGTTGAGATAGAATAAAACTAAATTCCAGAGAAATCTAGGCACTGTGTTTTTAAAAAGGGAAGTACTGCTAAAATATGGATTTATTCATCAAATGTTATCTGAAAGTGATCAGTTATCAAGGAAATACTGCAATGACTGGTCATAGAAAGCATTCACTTAGATTGTTGAACGACATTTTGAAACTATAATAATATCACCTAGCTATTTTCCACAGTTTCGATGTTCATGAGATATGCAGTTAAAATGACATTTGGAAATGTCTTTTCATTGTCAAATAATTGCCGTCTTCTTGGATATGAGAGATAATGACAATTAAAAATAGAAATATCTAAAAGACATCAACACAATACTGTCACATTCGAGAAGTCTATTTTAAAGCAGAACTCCCCTTTAACATATCGACCCAAAATGCAGCCATTGGATGAACAGCATTCGATGGCTGCTCAATTCAATTCACTGCATGCAAGCTCACCAAACTGGATTTGTCCCATGAGACAAAATACCAACACTGCCTTTTTGAGATGCAACCAGATTCAGTCAGAGGCTGCCTTTGGCAAATAATCCCATCATATCTACGTTTGTCCGGCACTCTATAAACATACTGAGTATATAAATGAGATGAGCATCGTGTCAGTAGATAATCCAGCATGAGGTTATTTGTAGAGACCAAACGGTTGAGTTTCAGCTGAACAGGAGGTTTTGGTTGCAGTGAGCACCATCGAGTCATACATTCAGCACCGCAGCACATCTGTACCGTACGGCTTTGGGTGGTTTCAAGAGCAGATTTGGTTATAGTTGCATAATTAAGTGAATCAACCAATCATTTGAAAAGTGGCAAAAGGTGTACAAAACATTCATTTAAACGTTTGTCAGTGATAACAGAATAAACTGGTGCAGCTGAGATTAAAAGTTGTCTAACATTCTTATAATTTGGGCAAACTAATAAATGACATTTCAATCACTGATATAGATCTTAGAAAAAGGACAGCATTGCAGAACTGAAGTTTAAATTGGAGTTATCACATTCAATTGCTTTTAGCTAATTTAACTTGTTTTAATTAAAAAGTGCTTTCAGTTCTTAGCCAGTTTACCTTTAAATGTTTCTCATTAAAATAGAAAAACTTGCATGTAATCTCTCAGTAGAGCTCGAGGCAGGTTTGAGCCATTATTTAACCACTCGTACTGTATGGTTACTACAGTCTAGTTGACACTTGAGCACAACGGTCTCAGTGCTCTACAGTACGAACATTCACTGTGTTTGTAACTTTCTTTCAATTTCCTAGGGATGAAAGGCATTACAAAATGCAAAGCACCAGCAGCAGCATTTCTTGTTTGTTGTTGCCGTTTCAGAGCATTTCAGGGCTGGCAGTGAAGCCATTTCAATATACATTTATAAAATGTACCACTTTGAAAATACTGGCACTGTAGCTAAAGGCATAGAGGAGGAACAATGGTATTTGATATGTGACATTATTTTGTGTAGAGAAGTGGACATTGCACACATCCCTCTGCACCTACACTGTCAAGAAAATGTATTTTCTTTAACATACACACTGAATATATACCTTTAAAGCATAACAAAACACAAATGCACAAAAAGCACATTGCTTTCCCTTTCTGAGCGGGGTTCCTGGTTGCTCCGGCACGACATCACGGTAAGGCGTGCAGCTGGTCTGAGAGGTTATTTCCATCGTTTTTACTGCGGCTGTTATTAAAGTTGTCTGCCAGTCTTCGGGGGGGAAAGACTGCGGTTCTCTAAAAGGTTGCATAGTGGAGGGGGTTAGGGGGGGACGGTATCTTTAGTTTAACTGCTTGACAGTCGATGGTAAAAGTAGATGTAGCCCAAGTCTTTTGGAGGCCTTTCTGACAAACACACTTTGTGGTCGTTGTAGATCACCCACCTTCAGGAAGAAAGAACATTTGTGGAGTGAGAAAAGCTTTTAAAGTGTCACTTCTCTCAACGCTAGGAGGACAGAGGAATGAGTCAATTTACAGTTTCCTTTCATTAAAACAAATACAGTGTACCTGTGTTTTGGAATAATTAATTTTCTACTTCTGGTGGGCATTAAGTTAATAATAAAACTGGTAATGATAATTGAATTTCTTGAGAAAATGTATTTCCTGAGATGGAAACACATTAAGGCAATTCAAATCAGACATTTCAATGACTATAACTGGAAAGTCCCTCATAGTGATCAACAAAGTCAGTTTCTCTACCACTGTGTATTTTATGAATAGAAAGTAGAGAAAAATGTGTTTGACCCACCTTCCTTCCTTCTTGATGTGACAAACATAATGTCCGGACATTGTGGACGCTCCCATGTGACTGATGAAAGCAAAGAGCTCATAACCTGGAAAGAGAATTTTCTTTTTAATTAGAAAATACAACAGTCTTTTAAATACAACTGTACGCAACCACTTTATATAAAAAGCTTCAGTAGAAGGACATGTAAACACCAGATATCATCAGGTTTAAAGACGCTGTTGCTGATGACAATGCCTTCATTGGCAGCATAAGAATTATGAAAAAGTGCAAACATTCAGGTATATTTATAATGATATAAATGATTTGTTTTTGCAGATTTTCCAGAATAGGGTGCGTGTTATTCCTTTGTTTCTGTTGCACGAGCACCCTGTAAGGAAAGTTCACAAAGTGCTCGATTTAAAGTGAAACAAATTAATAAAAAATTATTAAAATGGGACAGCATGTCGTCATTAACAAAAGAACGATTATAATTCTCACTGCCAATTTTTCGTGTTAGTTATTAAAACACCATTGGTATGCTAGTTTGTAGAAGCATTATAACATTGAACACATTTTCTTTATGAAGAGCGTGAACAATATGTGTGTGTCTTCAGTCTGGCAGATGATCTCAGTGCCATGCAGCACTACAATACACGTTGTGTCAGAATCCACATTAATTGGAGCTAATGGAAAACCGGCCGGTTATAAAACACACAGGTGAAATAAAAAGTCAAGAGGTCGAAAACGCCCTCTGACACTTTTTATGGACCCTGACCCCATTTTCCTTTCATGGTAACGCAGGTCTTTGTCTTGTAAGTGAATATGCTAAATGCTTCTGCTGGATGACTGTCCCAAATACCAAGCAAACTATACAACTCTTCTTCTTCCTACTATATAACTATTTTAATTCTACACCAACATAGTAAGCTTAAAATTAACCTCTGACATTGATGTGCCTTTAGATAAGAATCAATAACAAATAAAGTCAAGACAGAGTCACTCACGTCCCGGTCCGTCTTTGACCCGGGGGCCCGCTGCCTCTCGGTCCGGGGACACCGTGGAGTTGCTGTGTGAGTTGGCGTTGGAGAAGCCGTTTGGCTCCGTGTCAGCCATGTCTGAGAGGACATCACTCTCCTCTTCCTCAGGGTGGATGAAGATCCAGTCGAGTGCTCGCTCGAGATTATTATTCTGAAAAAACAATTTCCAGTTTTACTTTGGGAGTTTATTGTAATTCTAAAGCAAAATTGCTACATAACACCAGTATGTTTAGTACAGATGTTTGTCGTTTTCAGATGGGTCAGTGCGACAACATTTGTTTTAGCAGCTTACAAAATCCATTACATTTGTAGTTTTAGAAATGGACCGTAAGAGGAAGTTGCCTTTTCCTGGTAATATCTGGTGCAAATTAAAAAAGGTAGTAACAGGAAATATCAGCACTCAATGTGTTAGACATATGAAAAAAGAAAGAAAAGTTCATATTCGTACTATCCGTCTTTTATTCTGTCGCTGTTGTATCTTAAAGTAGCTAATCAATAAAAAGGCAACAATGAACATGAGAAATCATTTAGTGGGGAGGTTGCAGGTATCCATCCGTGCTTAATTCCCCTTGAGGTCTTTTGCTTTTAATCCAAAATAGAGGTGTGATTCCCGGAGAATGTCGCAAATGAAGCCGCATGCTTTTTTTTCTTCCACTCAAGGTCGAAGAAAATACTCCTCACCTAAATTTGGACTAATATTTCACACCTCCAGCCTCCTCGTGAGAAATATATGTTCTTTATTTGTGTGGAAGGCAGTGAGTTTGGTGTTATTAGGGATAGTAAACAAGGAAGCCTGGTGTCTATTTCTGTGCCTTAATAACAGTCTGCTGTGGTGTTTCTGCTGAGGGGGCAGTTTGGAATATGAAGCATGAAACAGGAGAATCAGGGGCCATTTCAAAACCGGGGGCGATAATGCATTTGCATTTCC